ACAACTTTAAATTCCTGGGCTCAAGTGATCTACCCACCTCAGCCTCCTGAGTCACTGGGACTATAGGCACGTACCACCATACCCAGCTAATTTTTTTTTTAGGAGACGGGGTCTTGCTATGTTGCCCAGGCTGGTCTTCAACTCCTGGCCTCAAGCAATCCTTCCATCTCCGCCTCCCAAAGGACTGGGATTACAGGCATAAGCCACTGCGCCCACCCTCATTTTCTAATTTGAAATTAAATAATTCTACCTTACCTGAGAATATAAGTATCGTAGCATAAAATCCAGAATGAAGGACTTGCCCTTTCTGAAGGCACCAGCCACCGATACCACCACCACATCAAGATCTCGGATGTGGTCCTGCAAGAGGATGGAGGCCAAGGCTTTCTCTTCTAGCTCAAAGGAATGTTGGTCTTTGTGAACCAAAACAACCTGTACTGGACCAGGCTTGCTGCTCTCCATGGCATCACCTGTGTTTACGCAGAGAAAAAAATTAGTTTCAAGTATTTTTTTAATGTATATTTTTGAACATGAGAACAAAAACTTCTTAAACAGGACACAAAATACCAACCATAAAAGAAAATAAAATGAAAAATTTGACTTCATTAAAATTAAGAATTTTTGTTTGGCAAAAGATGCCAATAAGAGAGTAAAAACACAAGCCACAGACTAGGAGAAAATAGTCACAAAACCTATTTCCAAAGGACTCACATCCAGAATCAACAGAGAAATCTGTAAGAACAAAATGAACATTCTAATTTTTTTTGTTGAAGAGGTCTCACTATGTTGCCTAGGCGAGTCTCAAACTCCTGGCCTCAAGTGACTCTCCCACCTTGGCCTCCCAAACTGCTAGGATTACAGGCATGAGCCAGTGCACTCAGCCTCCAATTTTTAAAATAACAATAATGGGTAAAAGACTATCAATAGGGCCGGGCGCGGTGGCTCAAGCCTGTAATCCTAGCACTCTGGGAGGCCGAGGCGTGCAGATTGTTTGAGCTCAGGAGTTCGAAACCAGCCTGAGCAAGAGTGAGACCC